TCAGAAGCTTAAAAGGGGTGGTGAGGAATGTATGGCAATTACCATATGGGGTCTGGAAACTGGGAGAATTGCTTGTGGACTCTGGGAGGCTTTCTTTGAACCGGGAACACCAGGCTTCACCAGTTATCTTCTCTGGCGCCAGCTACTGCTGCTGCTGCTGATCTCTGGGATGTACAGGGAAGCACGTGCAGGGCCCAGAACGGCTTCAGCTTAGTCCAAACAGGGGCTGCCTAGTTCAGACCCAGCCCCAACATTATATAGGCCTGGGTTAGCCATAGAGATCTCTCTCGCTGGGCTCCCCCTCCTCTCTCCTCTCTTCCCTGTCCTCTCTCCCTTGTTTCCTTTCCCATTCTCCTTTCCTTCCCCCCTCTCCACGTGGACCACCAAGTGGGGCTGAGTTGAGCAATGCTACCATGTAACATGTCTAACTGCATTATTATCTCTTCTATTGCTCATGCTCTCATTGACTTTAATACCATATTTATATCTCACAACTGTACAATTGTGCTTACTGAACCCGCGACTAGTGGTGGTGGGGCTTCCCCCCCCCCACCTTTATACTGCAATTCTGGAATATGTAGACCATGTAGTTCAGGTCAATGAAGGGGTCATTGATGGCAACAATATCCACTTTGCCAGAGTTGAGAGCAGGCCTGGTGCCCAATGTGGCCAAATCCTTTTACTCTGACTTTCACCATCATGTCTCTGGGATGTGACTGGGATTACTGTACATGGAAATGAGAAGATGCAGCTGCCCATCACATGGGGAGCAACAGAGACTGGGGGTGTATTTTTAACAAATCTATTTAGGTAGGAAGGTATAGGATTGGCATCATTGACTTGCTCATTGAATAAGACATGAAGGAGATGAGGGCTCAAATAGAGAGCAAATATTTTGAGAATGATTAGGGCAATAAATGTACAAATGTGCTTGACAAAATGAGTGTATGTATGGATTCTGATAAGAGTTGTATGAGCCCCCAGTATGAGGTCCCGAGGGAGTACAAACAATGGACTTTGGGGCTAGGACATGGCACCCCAATAAGACTCGTCCGGAAAACACTTCTAAAGGTCAAAAAACAGACCTTGAACTACTACTAACAGGCTTTTTTGGGTTTTTTTTTTCCTTTTTTCTCTTTTAAATTTTGTATGTTAATGGATTTTTTGTTTGTTAGCTTGTTGGTGCTGCTGCTGTCTTGTCGCCATGTTCTTATGTGCCACTTTGGTGCTGTGCTGTCAAAGCCATCCCCAATTTTATGCTCATACTAAAATATCTGCAGGTCCACCTAGATAAGAGAGGCTGGACAAAAAAAAAATGTGAAAAGAAAATAAACAGACCAATGGCCCCGGAGGGACATGAGAGTGTGGGAGGTAGGGGAAGGGAGGAGGTGTTGGCCAACCCAGGGACAAAGAAATGAGTGGTTCAAAACCAATGGCAGGGAGGGGATGAGAGGACTGGTAGGGAGTGACCAAGGGCAAGGTAACTGAGAGGAATTATTGAAACCAGAATAAAGGCTGAACATGGTAGTGGGACAGGAAGAAAGCGTAAGGAAATAGAAGAAAGGAGTAGGAGGCAAAGGGCATACATAGAAGCCTAAATACAGACATG